TATTTGGTCTAAGAGTGGCTAAGTCACCTTTCTCACACCTTGAAGAATACATGCTTACATTTCTGAGAAAATGTAAGATGAACTTTCCAACAATTAATGGCTACTATCCTTCATGAAAAGCAACAGTAAAGATTGCATGCTTCTCCACTTTTCAAAACCCACCCAGGGTGGGAAAGAGAGGACAGAGAAACACATTTCTTCCTATCTAGATCAAACTGGTTCCTCTGCAACTGAGTATTCATTTTAGTTCTAAAATTTTTAAGTTGCCAATCACATATAAAATGGATTTTAATATTTTATCTAATGATAGAGATTTGTAGAAAAGAGGCCAGGAGTCTATTTTTCCCCCCACAAAAAAATGCATGTAATTCACTAATGTGCTATTTTCAGTACAGATGATTCACTACCATTCAGCTATCATTTCATGGGGAGCTAAACCAAAGCCAGATGATAAGAAATTTAAAAAACACTGAACTCAACTCAGCTAGCTTTATTATGCCTTCTTCAAGAAAATTTCCCTGAGATCATAGGTTCAGCCCATCTATTCATAATTTTGCTGTCCCAAGGAGTCAATTTTCTGTACCTATATCTTGGGGTGCAGTATTCAATCTGATCAACATAGGAATGACATCTAATATAGACCTTAATAGGTAAGAGAGTCTACATTCCTGCTCCCAAGCAGCAGAACAGCATTTCAGCAATGGAGATGACAGGAACAGAGAGTATGGGTCTGTCCTACTAATTTTTTTTTCTATATAAAAGATTTAGTGTTACCATAATGGATTGTAGACTAATTGCCATGTGCACCCTGGTTGTGTCTCTCCAGCAGCTAGGTGGTTCTCTATGTGATTTTCAAGTGATACACTGAAGGAGATTTCGTAGGCTTGTGTGATAGATAGTTCACTCTAATTTCTCACAACTATTATTAAAGGCAAGGCTGAAAAGTTCTCTTTCCAATTACCTTAAATTCCTGTCACTAAATGCACATTTGTTCCCTCTTGTCCACTGAAGGATTTCTAGGACATCTTGTTTATAATTCTCTCCCCGCAGGAAATGCACCCAGCATCCACTTTCTTCTCTCTCTCTCTGATTCTCTTTCTTATTAAAATGAAGCCCTTTCTCTCTAAAGTGGTTTAATAGGTCACACCTGTATAAAATTTATTACATATGTGTGTGTGTGTGTGTGTGTGTGTGTGTGTGTGTGTGTGTGTGTGTGTGTATATATATCTTTTATATTTTATTATAAAGTACAAAAACTACTCTGTGACTTGGGTGGTACAAGTATTATTTTCCCCATTTTATAGATGAGGAGATTTCAGTTCAAAGGGGGTAAGTAACTTATTTAAGATAACACAACTCATAATTGTCAGTGCCTAGATTTGAACTTAAGTCCTCTGACCCCATGTTCAAAGTTCTTTCTACTTCACCAGACTGTTATTCTTATGTGGCTTAGTAAGAGCTATTTTCTAAATAATAGGGGCATTAAGTCTTTGCTGACTAATTACCAAACTCCATGTACATTATTTCCTCAAAGAGGAAAAATTTTTGTCTCAGTTTCTCCATGGCCATTCCTGCCTATAAATCAGGAATACTAATACCTATCATATGATTATCTCAGAAGAGTCCTAGGAGGACTAATGAGTTACTTTTGTAAGGTACTTTGGGATCCTCAGAAGACAAGGTTATGAACATGAAAAGCAGGAAAAGTGCTGTTACTAGGATTTAGTTCTACTTCAGGCATCCTCTAGTCTCTGTTTTTTCCCTACTACAACCTCCAATCAAAATCTCCTCTAATGCTTTATTTGCACAAGGAAGAAATTGTAGAGTGAAGGATGGAAGAACTGAGTCTCTAGGGAGTGAAAAGAAATGGGCTTAAGGAGAGTAGGATTAAAGGGAGAGGAGGCTTTCTGCTTGGGAAGGGTCATTGGCTCAGAGGGATGATAAGAAAACTTGTCTTTCTTGGACTCAGGAAATTCTTGAAAGAAATCATAGCCACTGGTTCGCTGGGAGTTCCATGACTAATAAGCTAGAAGGGAAGAAAAAATGAAAGCCCATGAGGTGAGAACTGTTGTCTTTAGGAGCCAGTCAAAAGTGAACAAGGTCTGTGTGGTAAAGCAAGTAAGAGATCAAACTAACCATCTCCCTGAATTAGAAGCAGGAGGTGATAGCCTGGGAATTAAATAAGACAGTACTATCAACAACCATTTTTGTTACTCAAGTTTCAAAGAAAATGGTCCCATGTGATGAATGGAGAGAGCTGTTATGTTCCTCACTAGCATCATTCCTCGTGACTAGCTGCGTAGAACTAAGTCGCTAAGCTTTATTTACATGGTTAGAGACACTAAAAATGAAAAGCCAGTTTTCTATGGAACCAAGAATATTAGATGCCCCCAAAGGGTCATAAGATAAATGCAAGGTGATCTTGGTTTAAAAAAAACCAACTAAACAAAAGTCTTTGGTGCAAATAAAAAACAATTTTGTTCTGCCCCCTTTTATTCTTATTTTAAATAATTTTTTAAATAAACTATTTTATAGATAAAGAGAAAACTTTTTTTTTCTTTGGGCTAAGCAACGGGGTTAAGTGACTTGCCCAGGGTCGCACAGCTAGTAAATATTATCTATCTGATGCCGGATTTGAACTTAGGTCATCCTGGATCCAGGGCAGGTGCTCTAACCTCTGCACCACCCAGCTGCCCCCTAGAAAACTTCTATAAGAAGGTTAATTCTGGGTGATATTTCACACGAGTGACAAAAACCTTATTTTAAAATTCAAGAGAAAAAATAGATTCTCATTTTGTAGAAAATTACACCAACCTAAAATCTCCTAGTAGTATTAACTTATGGTCCCAACTTAAATGAAGTTATCTAAGAGACTGATCTGACCTTTAAGTAAATGGTCAACCATCAGTGTTTGGTCTTTGAAATAAACAACTAGATTTGTTACCAACAAATGTTTAAGATAAATGATACTGCAAAGAGGAACTTATTTGTGACATAAAAAGGAAAGTATGCTTGCATATGATCTCATGTAAGTCACCATCCTAATCTTTAGATGTGTGGCCCTTTTATCCCAGTGTCATTTATTCTAATGATATGTCTTAACACATTTTTCAGAAATCATGATAAAGATTCTTATAAATAAGGTTTTCATAATGGTCTTTTTTGTTAATAAATGTCCAATGACTTAGCTTCATTATTCCTAGTGTGACATCTCAAACAAATATTCACCACTGTAAAGCAACAAACAATATATGAATCACAAATCTGAGATGCCATCTTGGACAACAAAGAAACAAACTCTTTTATATTCAAAGTTAATCAGTCTTATCTACATATACTGGGAATATAAAAAGCAACAGATAAGGAAAATATGCACAAGAGACTACAACCAATTTTTACAGAATGTGGTGTTGGTGGAAGGAGAAAAGTCTTTCAAAGACAAGGAAGGGCTTCTCTTCATGCTCTATCCTGATAAAGAGTGGCTAATGGAAAAGCTTTGCTTTTCTTGGTTCTGATTTTATTCCATTAAAATAGGTACTATTTGACTTTTTAAAATCCACTGTTATGGATGTTGGGGGGAAAAAACCTAATGGACAAAAAGGTCTATCTGTCAGATGATCTTTCATTTTGTTTTGTACTTTGCAGAAAATCTCAAACCAACAAACTGACCTAGACAAGCTTTAGGAAATGGGTGACTATTTGGCAACCTGTTAACTGAGTCTAATTTCCTTCTTCTGTATCTATTGCTTTTTTTTTTAACCACATTGTAATATTTTGTTTTTAAAAAATAGGAAAATTCACAACTGATGAACCACTTTTAATCTAATAACAAGAACCAACCACTATGACTGTAGTAGGAACACTGCATTATGTAAACAATCTGTTCACCAGCTTATTTCCACAAGTGTGGTATAACTGTTTTACCCCACCATTGACCACCTTGACAAATTCCATTTATATTACATTTTCTTTAGGAATAAAAAAGAATATTGTATAAAAAGCCTAAGAGGTTTAGGACCAGCTGCTTCTGTTTAAACCCAACTGTTTCAGTATTGAAGCAACATAGCTACAGTGTGATATCATCTGAAGGCTGGGCATAATATAGTCTAACTGATCCCAAAACTGCATAGGGGTTTCCCCTCCCTTCTGTGCATGATTCTCATTGCAGTTAATTAACTGTGCATGCGCGATTCACAGAATATTAAAGATCATTGAATCCAACCCCTGATTCCACAGATGAGGAAACTTCAGCTCATCAAGTTAAGCTACTTATCTTACAGCTAGTTAGTAGCAGAGGCTGGGCTAGATCACACATCTGCTGGCTCCTATTCCAGTATTATTTCCATTACCCCAGTACATGAAAGAAATTAATATTATTTAAAAAAAAACACCCCACCCCCAAATCCCTAGTCTAAAGATTTCTTCTGTCCCATTTTCTCAAATATTTTTACTAATTAAAAAAAAATCAAGGACACAATGAATACCCATTTAAGGAATCATAACATTTCTGGTTATACCTACGGAGATGCAGGGTGTCCCGATGTCCTGGACCTATGGTTCTTTCCATCCGTAAATTTCTGTTTCTATATTGGATAGATATGTGTGTATGAAGATAATATATTTATTTAATTAAAAAGCCACAGGGAAAAGCAATTATATATAAAACAGAAGCTGCGGCTTCTAAGTGAAGTTATATGGGAAGGGAAGGGTGTTGTGTACATGTATAATTATACACACCTGGATGCATGGAAACACACATATACACAAAGCACACAAAATAATGGCGTGCATCACCGGGCAAAATGGCATATGATTCTGCATGCTAATACACAACAGACACCAACTGTGACAATCCTTCATTATCATGGTTGCATGGCTGTCATTTGATCACCGCGGGCAATCTCTATAATGCTTCAAAAACACCTTAAGCTGGATTTTCTTATGTTAAGTCCAACATTACTGAACCACACAGCAGCGGCAGTCAATGGAGATTTACTGACCTGTCTCTGCTTCGCCGTGAGGGGAAGGCAGCATTACAGCCGGCTACTGTGCAGACGTGCATCTCTTTTAAGTGAACATTCCTGTAGTGTAGCTTCACGCTGTAGGAGCTTTTGAAACTCTTCTTGCACACATAACATATCTTGGGGTCTGGGCTAGAACACAAGTCACCTTCTGGGGAGAACTTTTGAGGGCTGCCATAGTTCAAAGATGACGTGAAACTGTCATGAAGGGCAGCCATACTAGCACTGCCTCCGTTATATAGTCCATATTGGCTCATGTAAAACATGTCATACGTGGGATCTGTAAACTCTTCCTTCACCTTAATTACATCCTGGTGAGAGGGCTCATTGTGATTTTCGTCAGGTCTTTCATTATTCATCATGGCTTTTTCATTCCCTTCACTGTGCATGCGGTCATCAGCTTCCATAGATTCCTCGCACAACTTTGGCTCAGAAGACTCAGACTCATTTTCATAGTCCCTCTCCTGTTCTTGGTCTTCTGAAGTCATACTGTCTGCCCTTCTTATTTCTGTCCTGGAGATACACCGGCTCCGACTGTGCTTGGAAAAATCTTTCACAGACAACCCTGGACTCATCTCATCATGGGAATGGCAATGATTGTCATGGCTCATGTCATTGACCACAGCTCCACTGTCATTGGGCTCATCATCTTCATCATCAAATTCATCAGCAGTATCGATAATTTCCTTTTCAATCTTAACAGGCATGCTTGACTTTCGAGGTTTCTTTTTGGGGGCCAAGTCAGCGCTGGGTTCGTGAGTGGCCATCACCATCACTGAGACTGCTGGCTCAGAGGGAGGTGGAGGGTGCTGCTCCACAGCACTGCTAGCTGGTATGATGGGGCTGGTGGGAAGTGAGGTTGGAGGGCTCACCATTTCTCCAGGGGTGAGCAAGCTTCTATAAAATGGAGGAACAGGCTGGACAGTCTTTAACCCAGAAAATACCAGTTGGCTAGGGAGAGGATTCTGTAAGACAGGGTCAAGTGGGGGAGTGGTAAAACCCATTGGAGGTCGGCCAGGGCTTGTGAGAGTGAGATTTGACTTAGTACTTGCTATGACAGGTGTGGCAGCTCCTGATGTAGCCCGGATTAAATCTTTGTCCCGGTTATTCCTTAGCATAGGCATGTGAAGGCGGGGATTGGGGTTTGCACTGTGGCGATTGCGACTTCGCAGGGAGCTGAAGACCATATTGCAGCCTTCGATAGTACACCGGTGTTTGATCTTCAGGTGAACTGCATTATAATGGATTTTGAGAGTACCTTTATCATAGAAAGTTTTTCCACATGCATTACAAAACACTCTCCCTTTCCTAGAGGCTGAGCCCATCCTTCTCATTCGGTGAATCCGGAAGGAACTTTTTGTGTGCTCAGGTTTGGCTAAATCGCTGATCGGGGCAGAAGTCTGAATGGGGGACACACAGGGTGGCTCTGTTTTGGGCTCCACGTTGGTGATGCTACTCAGAGCATTTCTATTGGGTGTTTGCTCATTCTTATAAGGCGTGGGAGAAACTTCTGACTCACTGCTTTCATTATATTCATTCTGAGTTGAAAGGCTAGGCTCCCGAAGCCTTAGTCCTGGCTGCTCCAGCAGCAAACCATTTGGGGGTAACCCAAGTAGTGGGGCAGAGACTGGATTTATGTACTGGAATGGAAGCAAGAATGCAAGGCTGTTGGGGATGTTTTCGAAATGATGAATGCTGGAAGGATTGCTGTTTTCCAGGTGAGCAAGGAGACTTGGACTCCTGGTGCGATTATTGCTTTCAATAAAAGTCCTTATATCTGAATCTGTCTTTGAAGACGGTACAGCAACGGCCTGCCCTTCTTTCTCTTGAATCGCCATCAGCTCTACAATGGATTTGGTTTCTCCAAACCGCAGAAACTGCTGAAGGGTAATAATCTCTTCTTCTCGGGACATGATGGCCCAGCGGTCTAGCACCTTGCCAGCAGCATCCTAGAGGCCACATCAAAGAAACAACAAAAACAAACACAAAAACTTATTGATTCTGCATAATTATTAAATTCAATTGAAGGTGCTCTGCTGTCTGCTCATGGAACAATGCGTGCAGAAAACAACATGCAAGCACTGTTAATTGAAGTCGACCCACAAAGCAAACTTTTCTGCCATGCAAATGCAGTAATTAGAGTCACAGTTAGAGAAACAGATTGAGTTTAATAATGTCAAGGCAAACAAAATTTAGACCACCAGGGCTCTGTGATCTAAAATGCCTTCAATACTGCTATTTTAACAACAGTGATCTATGTACTATGCAACTATTTAGCATACATTAGTATAAGACGTGAATTCTTGCTGCGCAACCCACAGTAAATGCAGAAAATGGTACCTTAAGCCTTATTAAAGGGTGACACCATAGGAAGGAATTAAGTTCATTCTGTGGAATCTATTCCTTAAATGTGAGCAGACATCATACTGGATTCAATGATAAAACATTCTTTAAGTAAGTCCACAGAATTTTGAACTAAAAGAATGACTAAAATACCACCCCAAAAATCTCCCACCCACTAATCTGGGATTGTGTGTGTGTGTGTGTGTGTGTGTGTGTGTGTGTGTGTGTGTGTGCGCATGCATGTGTGTGCGCACCGTATTTTAGTATCATGTAATAAAAGCCAGCAAAAAAGGCAGAGTTTGTAAAAATGAAAAAAATATTAAAAAGTTAAGAAAGGTTCTGTTAGAAGAAATTGATTAAAATTCTGTGATTTAGATGCAAAAACATTTGACTCTTTAAAAATATTTTGTTACCAATGACAGTTATAGATATTTAAAAAGTAAACATGCACTAGGTTTTAGGAAGCATAAATGTGTAAAAATGTTGACTCTTAACATCCATTTGGATAGTAAAGGGAAAGTCCACTGAGAATATACATCAGTAATCACTAGACTATCTGTTGTTAAATATACATTAAAAAGCATTTCACACTTTCATTTTGGCTGGTAACTATGAGATTTGCCTGGAGGTAGGACTTAAAAATTCTGCAGTGTAATGTCAGGCAATCCATTTCAGGGCATATTGATAGAAATCCAGTCAAACATATGAATGACTCCATTGTTTTCCAGGGCACTATTTCTTCTCACCAGTACAGGACACTTTCATCAAATCTGACCATTAGCTTAGGATGCCAGTTTTCTGTCCTACATTCTTCTGTCTCTGTGTTTTCAATCATGCTACCTCCTGCCTATGAAATTGACTCCTTTTGCACTCATCTATTAATTAAAGTCCTTCCCCTTCTTTCAAGGCCCAACCAAGTTTTCATGTACTTGCTCTCTGTTAACCCTGCCACCCCCACCCCCATAATTCCTGATGAATATAAACCCACCTCTCCCCACTCTACCCCTTATTCATCCTTCTCTGTTATAGTTATTTAAGCGACTATATCCCCTCTTCCTCATTAGAATGTAAACTTCTTGAAGGCAGGGTTTGTACCATAGAGTCATAACTTTAGAGCTGAATGGAATGTTAGTTCATCTAGTTCCACGTCCACATGTACAAATGAGGAAATTGAGGCCCATTGTCAAGGGTCACATAAGTAGTAATAAGTGGCAGGGTTGAATCTCTGATTCTGAAATCAGAGTTCTTTTCCAGGGTTCTCTTCTGTCTTTACACCTCCAATGTCTACTAGAATAGGGCCTTATACAAAGTAGTTATATAAAAATGTCTGTTGAAAGATATGTCATTGAAAGAGATACTCTTCTTGAGTTTTGGATGTCAGGCTCTTTTTGGACAGTGGTTATATGGTTTATGCTATAACAATCCTAACAATTTACATTTGTGTAGTCTTTTTAGTTTTACAAGTTTTCCTCATCAAAACCCTATGAATTAGGGGGTAAAATATGATTATCCCTACCCCATTTTGCGGAAAAATAAACTGAAACACAGGGGAAGTGAAACAGCCATAGGATTTGGAATTTTAATTCTAGCTCCACTACTATCTAGTTAGTTACATGGTTGTGAGAAAGTGACTTCTTTCTGGGCCTCACTTTCATCCTATAAAATGAGAAAGTTTGGATGAACTCATCTTCAAGGTCTTTTCCAACTCTGACATTCCATGATTCTAAAATTAGTGGAGACCTTGGTGAGACAAGGGTAAGACTTCATTGGCTTAAAGCTTTAGTCTAAGCATGCATGTTTGCAGAATATCCATGTTCATCTACATAAATAAATAGATTTCTTTATTATCTATGAGTGAAAAAGAAGATGCTTATGTGGCTGAGCTTTCCAATCTTCCTATTATATTAGTCTATGAATCATTTAGCAGTATGAAAATGATTTGCATGATGTGGTATAGACTTCCAGAATAAATCCTTTCATATTCTAATATAATTTCAATAGAAAGCCAGTATGGTATAGTAGGTAAACTGCTAGACACAGAGTCTGGAAAACCTAGATGCGAATTCTGCCTCCCAACACTTAACAACTGCATAATACTAGGCACATTATTAATACCTCTGACCCTTCATTTTTCCTTGTATGTAAAACAGGGACTATCTCACAGGACTACCCTGCCCTGAGAGTCAAATGAAATAATGCATATAAAGTGCTTTGTAAACCTTAAAGCACTATATAAATGTAAGCTCTTTTGATCATATTTACCATGTTATATTATCACTACTTCTATCTAGTTCAATTTAAGCCATGTTTAAAAGGAAAATTCTAAAAAGAACTGCTAAACTCTATTCATCTGGGGTGGATTTTTTTTTTAGCTTTAAGGCTTGAAATGTTCTTTTTATAAAAAAAGTTTAATCCATTATCCATTTGATAGACTCTAGCCCTTTTAATTAAATAACAAGTATGGGAATCTCTCTGACTACATGAGTACCAGATTAGAACACTGCAAAACATTCTTTATGTCTCCTGTAATCTTATTGATTTTTATTTCTGACAATTTCTTGCAGAGAATTTTTTTCTTCTCACAAACCATTCAATCATAGTCCACCATCTACATTTTTCATGACAAAATTTTCCAATTTGTATTTTCTTTCTCATCTCCCTAATGATTGATCTAAATATCAAGACAGTGGAAATGAACACATCAGAAAGCTTGTGGCCCAACACACAGTGGTGGCTTAACTTTAACAGTAGTTAGTAATGGATTTTATAATTGGTGAGACTCTCTTAAAAATGCAAATCCCATTGGGTTATAAGCAAGATATCTAAAATTTCCTTCCAGTTCCACATGATATATAATCATTAATATTTATTGTTCCCAAGTCTAACCATCCCAGTTCCTTTTCATTTGCTACCAACACCAGAAACATGTGAAAGCATAACACTGCTATGTTCCTCTTCTAAGTACTAATGTACCTCTAGATATACACACACACACACACACACACACACACATCTATAATTTGTCTTTCTGTTTTTATCTCTGAGCATGAATGTCTATGAAGAGCAGTAACAACTAATCCTCTTTGAGTTGCCTCTCTCTTGGTTTTTTCCTGACCTATAGGTTAGTAGGAAATGTATCTGGATTTGACCCAGAAGTTAGAATGCATATCATCTAACTTCTGGGTCACATCAAAAACAAGTGATGGGCTCAGAATGATTATTTCAGATGATATGAACAGGGGCACTCCATCAACTTAATAGATTAGACTGGAACTCAAACACAAAGTTCACAATAACATTTATGAGTCAGACAGGCCTAGTTAAGTGTGATACGTCTGGTGGGGAGTTTGGGGGAGGTCATCCGTGGAAGAAAAGGAAGGTTGAGTTTTTATTTCTTGAGGGACTTTGAGCACTACATCTGATATTTTAAAAGAAAGCTATTATTAATTCTAAAACTTTTCAGCCCTCTCTTTCTACCTTCTCCCACTCATTATCTATTTTAGTCATTGGGATAAGCCTATGCATATAATTATAGCAGACCTTTCAACTCTGAACTTTCATTCTGGAATTAGGTCACTCTTACATTTTGGGTGTGTGTGTGTGTGAAAAGCTTAACATCTGTATCTTCTCCATTATTCTGAGTCAATTAATTTCTTTCCCTTTTTTTTGCTAGACTATTTTTATCTCTCTAATTTAGTACTTGGCACAAGAGTAAATATGCACATGTGCGCTATAGTAGTAAAGGAATATATATATATACACACGTACACACACACACACACACATTAAGGGAGATGAATGAAAAAAGGTTAAAACAAAAAAAGAAATGGCAGATTCTGGGAAGTACTAGGAATGTTTTTGAGCATTGTTTTGATAATTTTTGAGAAACACTTGAAATTATGTGGGAAAACAACTTGGCAGTCATTTATTTGAGAAAATTTACATTAAACATGTATCTTTTGCTGGAAAACTGACTTATAGAGGTGCAACATCACATATACAACATATATTCAAGGAGTTTTGTTGAGGAAGTAAACAAAATTATACCAATCCCTGTTCTCACGAAACTGTTTTACACAATTCTGTCTTTTGTAGCATTTCAGGGTAATGTTTCTAGGAGGCCAGTTGAAACAACTACAGTATCTGTAAGCAGGCTGAAATGTATTCATTTATAGCATGATTATAACAAATGGTTTAAATTAAGACTCTACACATACACAAAAATAAGTAAAAATCAACATTTGCTTTTGGTAATGAAATCCCTACCTAATTTCAGTGATTCAGGCACTTATATATTTTTTCAGGATTTCTCAGGAGCATCAATTTACTTCTCAATAAAATGTTGAACTGCCATACACTCATTCTTAACCAGTCTGAGACAATGATATTCTCAGGGAAAAAAGTGTTCTCTGGGTATTGCACAAAGGGGAGATATACCATCCCACAAACAAAGCAAGTGCATAGATTTTACTGGTTAACATTTAGCCACACAAACATCTTCCTGGAGGACATCCTCTATAAATGCTTTTCCCATCGACCCAAAGCTAGCTTTGTTAAGGAAAGTGCTTGCAAACATCGGAGAGAGGTAGACACTAGCTTGCTGTGA